GCCTCTTCATCTCATCCTGCCTTTCCAGGCGCACGGAAGGGAAGTTTTGCGAGTGAAATTACGGGCTTACGGCTTCTAACTCGCTCTTCGTGTATTTTGATGTCGGTTTCTTGCATCTTGTTGGGGGCGTCGAATCGGAAGTGCCGATAGATGGATTAGTTTGACTTTGCGGATCTTTTTTTGTTACCGTGCTTCCTCAGTATCTCGGTTTCAAACACCAAGCAACCTTGCAAATATATGAGGAGGAATAATAATAATAAAAAAGTTTCTTTTTCTGGGCAAGACAGTGAAGTATCAGTAGCATTTTCATTAATCTCCGTTGACTGGTAATGCACAGCTGCACAGGTTTTGTTGTCTGGCCCATAAATGACCTGGATGTTATCGGGCTTTCTCATAACAATTTACAGAATATTTTCACAATTAAAAAGAAATCTCTAATAATGTTTAAAGCCTTTTGAGGGACCTGAATCTTGCATCTTCTTGGTTTTCAAGTTTACCTTATTTGCTGTTGAATCAGATAAGCAGTTGTTTCTCTATTCCTCACCTTGTAAGAAGAGAGGATATATTCGGAATTGCGCATGCCTTGTGTAGAAGGTGAACGGACAAATAACAATAAGAAACAAGTTTGCGGAGTGCTATAGCATATAAACTTATGAATAGTGTCTCAGATTTGATTTTTCAAAAGAAGGAATAAACAGTAAATGTGAGAACTTTGTCATGCAGTTAAAACCATAAATCTGTACTTTTACTAATCTGATGCCCTTTACTTTCTCTTTGTAGGAATGGAGGGGAAAAAATTGATTTCTGCAACAGACACACAGTATTCTAATGTGCTCCTCCAGTCTTTGAATGAACAACGCGGCCACGGACTTTTTTGTGATGTTACCGTCATCGTGGAGGACCGGAAATTTCGAGCTCACAGAAACATCCTTTCAGCCTCAAGCACATATTTTCACCAGCTTTTCTCAGTCGCTGGGCAAGTGGTTGAACTGAGCTTTGTAAGAGCAGAAATTTTCGCAGAAATTCTTAACTATATTTATAGTTCCAAAATAATCAGCATTCGATCCGATTTACTTGATGAACTGATTAAATCAGGGCAACAGCTGGGTGTTAAATTCATAGCCGATCTGGGCGTACCTCCATCTGAAGGAAAAAACATGCCAAGCGAGGTCAAAGACGGTGCTTCAAAAACTTCAACTTCTAGTCCAGGTCAAAAGGATGCTGAAACACAAGTACCTGTAATAAGGCCAGAGAGTCAAGAGGTAACGGATGGGATGCCGGTTATAACACAGTCATTCTCCTTACATGGCATAGAATACGAGCCTACAAAAATTACAGTGAGTGATTCAGATGATGAGGATGATGATGTAATTTTTTGCTCTGAGATTGTTCCTCCAAAAGAATGTACTAAAGATACAAATGCTGCAGCCCAGAACCAGCCTTGCCCAAGTCCAGCTGGAGTTTCTGACCAAAAATCGTGTGGCCGTGGTGGCTCTCCCCATTTGACGAGCACGACAGCAGCTCAAAAACTCACTTCATCTGCCAGTCAGCTAAGCCCAAACCAAACGCAGTCAAGTGCCAAATCACTTGTCTCTGCCACACCGCAGCATTTGACTCCTAATATCATTGTGCTAAATAAGCCTCTACTTAACTCATCGCTCGGTGCCAGCTCCTCGCATCAAACACATGTGACTCCTACAATTAATTTACTTGAGGAGAACCAGCAGCCATCTAATAATGGCTCCTTAACTGAAGTGGAAACAACTGCTGTTGATGATGAAGAGGTTGTTGAAGATGATGTCGATATCATTAGCTCCTCTAGTCCTG